CTGCCTTAGTCGTGTTATAAAACTAATTATCGTAAAAAACAGTATAGCGAAACAAACTTTTCAGTGGCGACTGGTATGACATAAAATTATCGATGACTGATATTAATTTTTTTTTTATATACATGTAAAGGAAACTGGATAGCGTGTCAGAATTGTGAGAAGGAAATGGTGGAAATGTTTGAATTAGAAAATTAAAACTTATATGAAACAATACATTGACACTGACACTCGCTAATAGAATAGAATAGAATAGAATAGAATAGAATAGAATAGAATAGAATAGAATAGAAAAACGTTATTATCGTGTCAATGCCATTAGCCACCTCGCATGACTCGTTAGTTTCCACTCAGACTATAAGCCTGGGAAAATCCCATACTAATTTGGGGACACAAAAAACAAAAATCCTTATTTCGTCGGCCATTTAGAAGTTTATGATATGTCTTCCTGCCACACTTGTACTCTTCCCAGTATGGCCAGGGTATTGACAGGGTATTGGCAGGGCTCGATCGCCAGAATCTTCCAAGTATAAAATGTCTGTGCCTCGGGCAGATGGTCATGCTCGCAAGCTGGGTCGCCGACAAACCGCGAATACCCGCTCTGGCCAAGATTAGCTCGGCTTCGGTAACATCACCGAATTTCGATATATGGCAGCTCGCCAAATGCGCCGAAATATCCGAGTTGCACTCAGAGAGCGAAACAGGATTCTCCTCGTCCCTACTAGAACTACACGGAGTCTGTAATATTTCGTGCAGAGAACTACTGTAGGGAATATCAGACATTTTGCGCAATATATACGGACGTTCTCGGGATAGACTGAGAGGGTTCTGACAAAATATACAATCTGACGCACATTTCTAGGGGTGGCGAATGGTCTATCAAAAATGACGAATCTCGGCAAATTTAAGCCGTGTCTCGGAATCTCGGCGCTTAAAAAAAGCGTCTCGAAATCTCGGGCTCGCCAGAAATAGGACGATCTTGGAGTCTCGAATTTTGAATCTCGCAAATGCAGCTTCTTGTATACTATATTTTCTCGGAGTTTTGGATCACTGCGTCTCGGGCTCGGATTTTTGGAGCGCTAAGTCTCGGGCTCGGACTTTTAAACCAGGGTATCGGCGTCTCTGCAAGTCTCGGATTTACCATTCGCCACCCCTATTTCTCATTTAATTTAATTTAAAAGAGTGAAATTGTAAAACAAACACTGTGTTGCCGCATCGTGGAAAATGAAAATAGCTCACAAACGAGTTTTCAAAATCTTTTTCCCCCTTGGCAGCGACAGGAAAAATACCTGACTGGACAACTGATGTCATTCGTATAAGAATTTGAACACTTGTAAAAGTTCTTACGGAAAATGTTTTGTGGAATAGAAGCTAATAATAGATAAAGAAATCCCATCGCAACACGAAATTTAATATGCAGCTAATTTGCATATATCAAGGAAATATTTATCTGTTTACTTTTGAAAATACCCAGATTTTTCCCGAAACAACAGCTAAAACGACGAATAATATTTATTTACAGAGCATAGGTCTGCCGTTTAGCGGTTATTATTGTATCTCCAAGCGTTTTCGGCTGAGAAATTGGTCTATCGTTCGGACCGCCTTATCTTTGGTTTCGATCAAAATGGCGAATAATTGGGAAATTCGCAGAGCTCTGTACGGTGCGCAGCTTTAAGTGCCCACAAATTTTATTCTATAATTTATTAGATTGGTGTTAGTACTTTTGAGTTATAACAGATTTGACTCTAGGTCAGGTCCCACATAAGAGAAAATAATTTTAAACTATAGGTATGTCACGTTTCGCAAATTCCGGGGTTCGAGAGAAGGTATCTTAGAAAATTCATAACTCAGTCAAAATTTAATAAAATACAATTATTAAACCTTTAAACTATTGATGAAAGATGAAACTTGAATATATAAAATATTCAGCGGGTTTGGACAATAAATTGGGCTTTGGTAGCGCCCGACATTTATAGCTAAATTGTAGAGTCCTCAAAGCTAATTTGCATAATTTTGAGGTTATGTTGAAAATGGCCTCGCAAAAAATGAAAAAGAAGGAATTGATCCAAATAAATGTGATATTTGTTGATGGGATATAATGGTTAACTTTCACTGAAAATATTAGGCAAATCGGTGAAGGGCCGAAATTTGCCTTATCCGTTCTTACGCGGACAGCCTCTTAAGCGTTCCAACAGATTTTATATCCTTTGAAGTCAATTTCAGTCGAACATTTCGTCAAGTTTGCCTCTCATTCGCTTGTAATTTACGAATAGGTTTGATGAAGGTGTCATCGGCATGGCGAAGAGAAATAATCGTATTAAGCGCCAAGTTGTTTTTCGGTGAAAGCTTGCTTTGAGAGTTTAGTGGATACGATACGATTCGGTGAGTACTGGTATATTTCTGTTATTCACTCGAAATTCGTTGAGATATTCGTCATCTGAAGCTTACATTTCAATGCATCTATCAAAAAGATTAATTATCTTGTTCAGTCATTGTACAAAGTGTATGGCAGCTTTCCCAGCTTTCGTTCAGAAATAATCGATTGGTCCTAGAAAAACAAATGAAAGCCATCTACCTTTAAGCGAAGCCATTCAGTTGTGAGAAACAAAATAAAAGAGACTTTCAACACTGTTTCAACTCTTTATTCGTATTTCACTTTTGCTTACACTTGAAATGTGGCAGACCGCCGGGACGTACTCTCCCCAGATCTCTTCGGTTACTGTAGCCGTAGTAGGGCCAGCCGTAGCGATTTGCTTAAACTCCCTAATCTTGGAGAAACGGAGGGGGAGTGGAATCCCCACCCCCAGGTCGGGAAAGACCAAAAATAGCACGGTCTGAATGGGTTAATAATAATTATAATAAGCTAATTGGAAGAATGAATGTCAAAGTTATAAGAACTACAATCTTGAAATAATATTAAAACCCCTCCTTCAGTTTGGATTGGAAAATGACATTTTTTTGCTGACTGCATAAAGCTAGAATGAAACTATAACTGACTGAATTTTATTGAATAACTATCGCAACACAATCCTTGCCACCAACAACGTTATCTTGGTGTTTAGTCTCGTTCCGCTTGGCAGTGTTCTAATCAAATTACAAGTTACTGAAGTGTAACAACAAGTCGAACAAAGTTCATTATTGACTTCCTTTTCCACCCCAATGAACGCAAAAATGACCTGTTGTTCCACCCCAGTGGGCAAATGACTGTTTAAAAGAAAGTCTAGAAATAATCACAAGCTCCAAACACAGGATACAAGAAGTACAATTATTGCAACTTTCCTTGCTTGGCTTCCTTTTGCAATCGGGCAGTAACTATTTTCTTCCAGAATTTAAATTAGCACCGGCAAAATCCTGGATCCAGCTGGAGCAATCTGAGAAAGTAACCTGTGATTGATTGCATCATCCAGGAGGAGTAACAAGTTTCCAGTAGTTTACCGCAGGTTCAAAACTAGAGAAAAAATTCAAAACAAAGGCGTCAAAGTTCATTCGAAGGTCTTTTGTATTGTGTAATTGTTGCCTGTAGCCAATACAAACATGCACATATACTTGTACAACACCTGAATCCCATGGATGAAAGACTTTTCAACAGTCTATTTAGCAAGCCAATACGTGAAATGACTTTGAGAGCATTAAATGAACCCTTAAATTGTGTAAATCATTTCTGATAATACTACAAGCTGGACCTTTGGCGCAAGATGGGGAGACGCTACTAATTTACAAATCTGTCATATATGCCCCTCAAATAAAACATGTACGACGGAATTCCAGAGAAATTCTAACTGACTGAATATGATTGAATGACTAATCGCAACACAATCCTTGCCACAAACAGCGTTATCTGCTTATCTTGGTATTTAGTCTCGTTCCTCTTGGGAGTGTTCTAATCAAATTACAAGTTACTGAGGTGTAACAACAAGTCAAACAAAGGTCGTCATTATCATGACTTCCTTTTCCACCCCAGTGAACGCAAAAATGACCTGTTGTTCCACTTCAGTGGGCAAATGACTGTTTATAGAAATCATCACAAGTTCCCAACACAGGATGAATCAAGTAAAATCCTTGCAACTTCCTTGCTTGGCTTCCTTTGGCAATCAGACAGTTATTCTTTTCATCCAGCATTTAAATTAGCGCCGGCAAAATCCTGGATCGAGTTGGAGCACCTGTGATTGATTGACATCCCATTCCAGGAGGAGTTACATGTTTAGTAAGCTTAGTAGTTTGCTACAGGTACTAGAGAAAAAATTGAAACCAAAAGCGTCAAAGTTCATTCGAAGAGCTTTGGTATTGTCGCCTGTAGTTATTATTAACATGTACTTGTACCTCCCTACCAACACCTGAATCCCATGGGTGAAAGACTTTTCGACAGTCTATTAAGCAAACAAGGCATCCGTGAAATGAATTCAAGAGCATTAAATGAACCGTTAAATTGCGTAAATCATGTTTGATAATACTACTGGACCCTTGGCGCAACGGTAGGGAAAACGGTACCAATTTGCAAATCCGTCATATATATGCCTCTGTACGACGGAATTCCAGAGAAACTTCAATTCCACTTTTTGTATAACGTATTGTTCGAAATTAACATATAGTTACGCTCCTTTGACAAGAGCGAGCCGGGAGGACTAAATCAATAATCCAATACTTATTTCAAGGACTTCTATGAAAATTGGCAATTGACAATTCTACCCAGCCTGAGCGTGATATACATGTAGGCTCAAGTTATCAAATGTTTCATTGGTCCAGCACCGGCATTCAAACCAGACGATACTGGAAGGAGCGACAGCTACTTTGGCGACATTTCCCCAAACAGAACTTTCTTCTAAATCCACAACAAGAAAAGAGACAACGTGCCTGGCCCAAAGAGACGTCACTAAGGTAATAAATGTGTGAGGACAGTGGAAAAAGTAATAATAATTATAACTAGCTATTTGGAATAATGAAAGTCAAAGTTATAACAACTACAATTTTAAAATGATAAACCCCTCATTTTTGGAAAGCGGGGAGACGCGGTGGCCTAATGGTTAGAGCGTTGGGCTCTGGAACCGGATCGTTCGGTCCGGGTTCTAGCCCTGGCCGAGGTCACTGTGTTGTGTTCTTGGGCAAGACACTTAACTCTCATATTGGTTCTCTCCATACAGGAGTATAAATGGTTACCGGCAACCTAACAAAATGCTGAGGGGCGTTGGACTATCATCCCATCTAGGGAGCGGAAACCGGGATAAGCTCCTGCAGGCCCCGAATGGCTTGATCTTTTGGAAAGTGGCGATATCTCAATGACTGAATGTTTATTGAATGATTATCGCAACACAATCCTTGCCACCAACAACGTTATATTGGTGTTTAGTCTCGTTCCGCTTGGGAGTGTTCTAATCAAATTACAAGCTGTTACTGAGGTGTAACAACAAGAGGAACAAAGGCCATTATTGACTTCCTGTTCCACCTCGATAGCCACCACAATGACCTGTTGTTCGCCTCACAAGTTCGACAAACACAGGATGCATAAGGTAGTATTCTTGCAACATTCTTTATTTGGTTGTTTCTCGTAGTCAACTTGAGACTCAAAATGTTAACATGTCGTTAGCTCGAGCGTTTATATTTTCTCGGGTGGGAAGACACTGCAAAGGACAAGGAATATCTTCATCTACGATCTAAATGAGTAGTCTATGATGCATGGACTGGCCTCGCATGATAGCGATGCTTAGTCGCTTAAAATGCATGCACCCCACTCTTGTTTTCTCGAGGTGCTGTGACATACGTATTTCTACCATTATCAAACGGAACTGGGCGCTGTCTGTATACCCACTAGCTACAAAAATATGAACATAAAGTGTGCGTGAGCTGCGTGGCAATTGTTTTAGACAAATTATAGGTTATATAAAAGTGCCAAAAACTTGTTGAAAATCCGGGGGACTCCCGTGTGAAAGGGATGGAGATGCCCGTCGGAAAATTTGAATTAAACCCTAGTCTGGAATTAAACCCCTAAAGCTAAGGAGACCAATCTAGGCGTTGCTCAAGCTTTATTTGACCCCTAAAAGATACCATTCTAAAACAGACGGACAAATAAGAGCTATAGTGACTTTAATGACGAAAATACGTTTCATCGAATGCTTTCATCTATAAATAGATTTTAAAAGAAGTGTCCTAGATCTTTAGTTCTTCGTTCATTGTCTCTTTCGTGCAACCCTAAGCGATACCTTGATGCCTAAAAAACATTGGCGTTCCGTATTGAACACCCTAAGTGATACCAAAATCCATAATTCACATCTCTAAAAGAGACGACGAGCATCCCCGCCCCTTTTACAGGGGTGTTCCCTACCGGGTTTGAAAGACCAGACGTTTCGACCTTAACCCTTTATCAGTGGACGTTCATTTGTTCGTTACCATGACACCAACACACCCATGACCAGTTACATGATGCACATTCACCCGCTTTCATTTATCATCTGCGATAAAATCGTATACATTTACTCAACTCTTAAATGGTCTTAAAACAAAGCAGTGTTGTACAAATATTAAAACATAGAAATGACACAATCTTAAAAAGGTATCTGGTAACTGAAGTGCCCAACATGTTTAAGTGGATGAAACTGTACGCCAATTGTAAAGTAAAATGCTGTATGACAGTTTTATAGTTGTGTTGTCGTTTCGATTTCATTCGAGATTCGTTTCTAGATTATATTTACTTGGGCCTTTCACTACAATCTTTTTTCCTCAAGTCACTTTGCTTTGTTTTTTTCTTTAAGGAGAAATTGTTTGGCCATGGAGTGGTTATTAACACTTGAAATAATAAAACCCCTCACAATACCTGCATTCCATGGATGAAAGAGTTTTTGACAGCCATATGAGCAAGCAAAAAACCCGTGAAATCAAATTGACCGTGAAATTTGTAAATCGTCTATCTAACATCTCTTGGTAATACCATTGGCGGCGTGATCCGTTTTATAACGCTACTCGTTTTAAAAAAGGAATCTGTCTATTTTGTTGTTCCACACAATGCGTTCATACAGGAATTCTGGTATCACCGTAACTTTGCTCTTTAGAGATATTTGCTCAAACTGAAAACAAACGTTATGCTTGTTGAGTAAAAACCAAGCGAAGCGGACCAAATTTATGATCAAATATGTTTTTTCGGAGATAACGAATAACTACAAACCAACAATTAGGCTACAGAAGAATTTAACGCAGAAATAAAAGTCCGATTTTCTACATGGAATCGTAGTTTGTGTTAGTGTCGCGACACATGGCTGTAATTTAGGGGACCCCCTAGTTTCGCAATTTGACAAGGGCAAGTTGAGAAGACAGAAATGGGCTTGACCGAAAAATGGCAGGTTGAAACAGGTGATACGGTGTGAAAGTTTGTACAAAACATAAAATTAGCAAACGACCAAAAATCACTTTTTGCCTCTCTTCTTTTGACACAAAAATGTCGAATTGGATTGATCAATTGATATTTTCGAGGAGATACTGAGGAAATCCGTTCAGAGAGCCTGTCTTTTACGTCATTCAAGAGGCATTTGTTCCACTGAGATGATGTAACCAAGCACGGACCGGTCTTTAATTTATTATTACTGGAACCAGAATAACATCGGAGTGACTAATGCGGACGTTCTTGTTCGATTTTCGGTTTTTCGATCAATAATTATGGGTTAAACCAAGGGATATAATGTGGATTTGGCTATGATCGGTGAGAATGTTCCACGACCTGGTCCGTCTCTTGCTTGTGGTTGTTTTCATAATTATCGCTCAACAAGTTAGCGCACGAGATGTTACACAAAAACATGGCGTCGAAAGTAATAATTCTACGAAAACAACAAACATTCCGAAAAACCGGACTGCACACGACAATAACAAGTTCGATAAGAACGCAAAAATTCCTGGTAAACGTTTCGCCAAATCGCGGAAAAATCGTGGTCTGTCACTGGCGGCTCTAGCAGGACTTGACCGCGCGGCTCTAGGTATCAACCCTCTTACAGTGCCGTATGGAACAAGGCTTGCCTCTCTCGGTTATCAACAAGCTCCTACTTTGCAACAACTTCCACAATACCGGGGTTTAGTTCCTGCGACTGGTGGATTAATTCAAAACGCAGCAGCACTGCGATTACCATACGGAATCCAACTTGCTAGACTGTTACCTGCCTTGAATCTTTATCGCAGTCGATTGCAATTGCCTAATAATGGAGGTATGGCCACTGATGTTCACGTTTACAAGGGACCTAACAGATTGAAATATAATTCAATTCCACTGAAGCCCGACCTCGAACAACAGGAGTTAATGAGTAATGGATTGAATCTACCCGCCTTGCTTCAGTTGAATTCTGCCGGGGATCAGGGTCTTAGTGAATTAGCAGATGAAAATGAAGCTGATCTAGATGAGTTAGGTAGGTTATTTTCTTCAAGTTCTTTATATTATTACGGACAGTAGAACCTCCACAAACAGCCACCTTTCTATAATGGCCACCTCTAGACAACGACCAGGATTATTCGTCCCGACCGTGGGCCGATCACTAACTTTACTATTATTGAAACCTCCCTTCAACGGACACTTCTCTTCAACGGCCATTTAACCTTGGCTCCAAGTTGCCGTTGTAGAGAGGTTAAACTGTCACATCTATCTCACATTTTAAGTGGAGTAATCTCTTTTTCGTCCAATTGGGCTTTTAAAAATCTGTATTTCCTCTTGACAAGATAAGACAATTTTCCATCACTAGCTAGGTACTTGAGAAATTGACATATGACGGTTATATTGCAGTGTGTTAATCATTGTTACTACTTTAGCATTTGGTTTGAACATTTGGTTTGGAATTTACCAAATTACTTTATTATTTCATTCACTTTTTATTCCATCAAAACACACAACTACGCCGGTTTGGGGCGATTTGAGACTGACTTTTCGAGCGTTGTCTCCTTGTCAGACTGTGAACATATATTATATAAGGGATATCTATTTTACCAAAATGATTTCAGAACAAATGAAAATTCAATGTTTTAGAGTATTTATTTGCTTAGCTAATGCACCTGTAGCTAATTTACATAATTAGGTTAAAATATTCCATTGTCCCTGCCCCAGTGTAGACCGAACAATAATTGTTTGTCACCTCCTCCTTTATCTCTATATTCCTGGAAATGAACTAACTTTAGCCACCGGTTACAGAAAGGCGCGAGGGTGCTGAGACAATATATCACTAGCTTTTTCATTCATATGACGTTTTCAACAGATTTGATATGTGTGATTTTTAAAGGTGTAAGAATCGCTCTATTCTTAGGCTCGGGCTAAAGCCTGGTTTCCATATGATCGCAACGATCGCAACGATCGCAAGAGTTGTTTCCATATGATCGCAACGAACGCAACGATCGCAAGAGTGGTTTCCATATGATTGCAACGATCGCAACGATCGTAATAGTGGTTTCCATATGATCGCAACGATCGCAACGATCGCAAGAGTTGTTTCCATATGTTCGCAACGATCGCAACGATCGCAAGAGTTGTTTCCATATGATCGCAACGATCGAGGCTTAAACGTCGAACTTTTCATGAGTCGAACTAACTTTCAGTTATGGTCGATCCCAATTATTTAATTTCGTTTTTGGAGTCAAACGTCGAATTTAATTTATCTTCAGTCGTTATTTACGTCTGCTTCAGACGGAAAGAACGTGTACGTTAATCCAAATAAAATCAGTCGAACTTAACTGAGACAAACGTCGAACTTCTCATGAACTTAATTCGCTGAATTTAGTTCGACAGATGAAAAGTCCGACGTTTGGTGCATAGTTTGCGATCAAACTATCAATATCGCTTTTCAGCAATTTTGACTTTCATATTTCGGTAAAAAGTTAAATTATCATCAAAACATATTGTTATAATAAAGATATTTTGTCTGGAAGGTTACGTCATTTCTGGAACCGACCAAATCCAGGCATAACAACTGATAACTACAGCACCAGCAAAATCCACCCAGAAACTGTTACGGGTGACTGCTTGTACAGTATATCATAACACCCGATTGCATTGCATTAGCACATAATTCTGTTGTTTGACCTTGTTTCGGTAACAAGTTTGGAAACTAAGCAAGAGGCTTTATTTT